ACCATGCCCAGCTAATTTTTGTATTTTTTTAGTAGAGACGGGGTTTCACCTTGTTGACCAGGATGGTCTCGATCTCTTGACCTCGTGATCCACCCGCCTCGGCCTCCCAAAGTGCTAGGATTACAGGCTTGAGCCACCGCGCCCGGCCTGATTTTTGTTATTTTTAGCAGAGACAGGGTCTTGTCATGTCACCCAGGCTAGTCTCAAACTCCTGGGCTGAAGTGATCCACCCACCTTGGCCTCCCAAAGTGCTGGGATTACACATGTGAGCCACCGCACCCAACCAGGTTAGCTTTTTCTCAGATAAATAAAAGGCAACAAAGTATGGTCCATAGCCACACAAGTCGTCCAGGACACAGCATGTCTGTGACACTCTGTTTCAAGACTTGCCAGCTGACACCTGCTCCGGCACATTCCAAGTTTCCCTTTCCCCATCCCAGTCTCATGGCTAGACGTGGGTGCTTAAGGACGGGAAGATTTATGCACCCTTATGAAGTGAAGCCCCTGTGATCGTCCACACTCTTCCCAGGGAGCTTTTTCATGTGTGCTTTCCCCTCTTGCTGAGGCAGATTCTTCTCGTCACTTTCTCTTTGCCCAGCAGGTCTGTGTAAATACTGCCATGTCCCCAGAATAATGTGTCTCAACTATTTAGTTGGCTTTTGCCCAAAGGGACCCAAGTGCCAATTTGCTCAGTAAGTATGATCCCTCAGTTACCAACTCCCAGCAGAGTGCTGGGCCTGGCCTTCTAGTTCTAGATCTTCCATACCTTCGCTGGTCCACGGTGGAAAATGAAGCATCTGGCAAGCATCCACCCGCAGTATTTGCCTGGCACTGCTGCCTGAGCCTGGTGATCTTCGAACTCTAACCCATCCTTGTATTTTTTTATTTTTTTTGAGATGGAGTTTCACTCTTGTTACCCAGGCTGGAGTGCAATGGCACGATATTGGCTCACCTCAACCTCCGCCCCCCCGGGTTCAAGCGATTCTCAGGCCTCCTGAGTAGCTGGGATTACAGGCATGTGCCACCATGCCCGGCTAATTTTGTATTTTTAGTAGAGACAGGTTTTCTCCCTATTGGTCAGGCTGGTATCAAACTCCCGACCTTAGGTGATCCGCCCACCTCGGCTTCCCAAACTGTTGGGATTATAGGCCTGAGCCACCTCACCCAGCCAAATCCATCCTCTTAATATGTAGTCATGCTGGGGATGGGTGCTGATCTTTTCACAAACTGTTTTAGCAGTAAGAGTAGCAACACTTAATGCTCATTTCTCCCCAGTCCTCCGTAATTCTCCCTCGCGCCCTGGCTAGGGGAGGGCGCCTTCCCTAGTTTTGAAATATGAGATCTGCAGCAGGCTGGCGCAGAGCATGTTAATGAGCAGAAGATGGGAGGGCGGGAGCTGGGCTGTAATCATCCCCCTCTCTCCACTTCCCTTAGTCCCAAGATGAATCTTTTATTCAACCCGAGTTACATGAAGGTGAGTGCAGACAGGCACACTGCCGTGCCTTTATTCCCGCTCCTTTCTGCTCCCCAGGGAAGCTCACCAGCAGCACCGCATGGCTCCCAATGAACACTCACTCTCCTTTGAAAGGCATGTCATCATGCATGTCGGGCACATATATGTGGCTGTTCCTCCCAGACTCCAACCTCTAGAATCTCTGCTGTGGGTAGGGTAGGATTTCTCTGTTGACCAGCCGGAGGCTTTCCTTCTGCTAGCTGGTTTCTGGAATCAGGGCTGGCCCTGATGGAGAACTGTGCCCGGTCCCTGCAGAGAGACACACTCCCTATGGACACCAAGTGTTAATGAGTGCCTACGTCAGGGGTTGGGAAACTATGGTCTGTGGGCCAAGTCCAACCCACTGCCTGTCTTTGTACAGGTGAGGGGCTAAGAACGATTTTGTAGAGTGGAAGGAAAATCCAAATATTTTGTGTCATGTGAAATTAATTCCAGTGCTCATAAAGGGTTTTCTTGGAACAGGGCCATGGCTATTCCAGCGTTTACAATGGCAGAGTCCAGTGGCTGCAAGAGAAACTCAACGTCCTGCAGAGTATAAAATATGTTCTGTTTGGTGTTCTATAGAAAAAGCTTGCTTACTCCTGGTCTAGATGACTGAATGTCGGAGACCCATTTAACTGTGACGGAGGCCAGACAGCGCCAACACTGGGACAGCCACTGAGCTCTGGGGCTGCTGATGGGAGGGTGATGGTCTGGGAGGAAGGCAGTCCCTGATGGTTCTGAGGGGGCCTTTGAAAGAAGGTGGGAGGCCATCTGTGGGACTGCGGGAAAGTGACAAGCCCATTTCTAACTTTCATTGAAAGGTATGCTTTTGGCACTTAAAACTGTAACTAAAGGCATCGTGAACCCTGGTTTCTCCCTGAACGCCTGGCCAGAGCCCCGGCCCTCTGTGAAGTCAGTGTCTACACAGAGGTAATATCTGCAGTAGGTGTTTCCTCGAGACTTCACTTTATCTGCAGCTTGTCAACTGGCCCCAGCATTCAGCACCTCCTGTTTCTGCTGTGGAAGCTTGCAAGCCCCTGTCCCTGAGAGTACCTCTTCTTCTGCCTGGGGATCAGGGGTCAAGGGCAGGGCCAGTGTCACAGGGTGGGTGAAGGAGTGCCACAAGGCTGGGTTAGTGCTTGGCTGAGAGCTGGGAGGGCAAGAGTGATCAGGGAGCTGGGGAATGACTCCTTTACTGCAGCAGACGAGAATGGATTAGGAGAGAATGGAAGGATAGTGTAAGCCAAACGTCACAACGCAATGTCTCAGCCACCCCTTCCTGTGGGCATCTCCTGCCAGACAAGACTGTTCCTTTAAAAGGAATAGTTATTTCCCGCTTTGTTGCCTACTATTTCTCTTCATTTACCTGTACATAACGTCCTTAAGATTCTTTTTTGGCAGGAGGGCGAAGTATGGTTAAAGGGAGAGAATGTAGCACCTGGTTCTTTTTTCTGCTATCTTCTGGTTTATCAGGAAGAAAGAAAAATCATGTTTGGTGATACCTTCTCATAACTTCTTTTTTTTTTTTTTGAGACGGAGTTTCACTCTTGCTACCCAGGCTGGAGTGCAATGGCGCGATCTCGGCTCACCGCAATCTCCGCCTCCTGGGTTCAGGCAATTCTCCTGCCTCAACCTCCTGAGTAGCTGGGATTACAGGCACACGCCACCATGCCCAGCTAATGTTTTTTGTATTTTAAGTAGAGACGGGGTTTCACCATGTTGACCAGGATGGTCTCGATCTCTTGACCTCGTGATCCACCCGTCTCGGCCTCCCAAAGTGCTGGGATTACAGGCTTGAGCCACCGCGCCCGGCCACCTTCTCATAACTTCTAAACTGTCCTGAGCTTTGCAGTCTCCATTCTGCAAGAGAAGTTTTATCGGGACGACAAGGTAAGAAAGGCAGAACCCTTGACTTTCCTGTACAGTTGCTTTTATGTGCCTTTGAAAGCCGAACCTTGCTCTCTGGGGTTGTGATGCTGGGCTTGGATGGCCTGAAATAAGCTAAGCTTCACTAATGAGCAGAATCCACTCAATTCCTCAGAAAGGTGGCTAACCATCGCCTATGGTTCCCTAGACAGGTTTTCTCTCGAAATCTGAATTTACAAAGTCATGCCATTCACGTTTTCTGTTTTTGTGTCAAAGACCAGGCCATTATGCCAGTAAGTGCAGTAAGACTCAACTGGTGGAGGACTTAATAAAAACTAACCTATGACCAGGTGAAGATGCTCAGTGGTCACACTATGGGATTCTGTTTCCCATGAGGTGAACAAGTAGCCTGGGGCATGTACGTTTCTTTCTTTTTTGTCCTGTAAGTGAATGAGCTACTAAAAATACAACAGGATTGGAGGCAGATTGGCAGGAACGAGTTATCCATCAAACGAGAGCAAAATGTACATAAAACCAAAAGCTCGAGTCTGTGGAAAATCCACGATCACTATACTTTGCTCAGCTCCCACAGACAGTTTCAGGTTGCATGTGGCAGTTCCTCTGCGTATGGCCTCAGCTGCTGCTATCAACTGGCAATTAAATCAAATGGTTTTCTTTAGCATGACAGCTGCTTCCCTGTATGGCTTACTTAAATCTAAGAATATATTCTGTGCCTTATGTGTAGAGTATTATAGAGCAGTAGATGGTACAAAAATAGGCTTATCCTGGGGAGGTAAGGTAGTGATATGGCATGTTTAACATTGTTTTAACGCTATCATGAAAGGCAAACACCAAGGCAACTTAATCCACTGGGAAATGGGGGCGGCGGCTGTGCTGAGCCTTTTGGAGAAATGGAGAGGAGCAATGTGATGTGTGAGGAGAACTGGTCCCCCGACTTGGTAAAGAAACAGGTGCCTGGCCAGCCTGGAGCTGGAGTCCACAGTCAGGGCCATCTAAAAGAATACAGCCTAGGAGGCAGGTTTTGGGGGGTTGAATGCCAGTTCAAACCAACGGGGACTGTTGTGTGATGAACAGCAGAGCTACGTTGGCAAATCACTCAACCTCCTCAAGCCCATTTTCTTTTTGGAAAATGAGCAGGATAGCACCTATGTCATAGGCCTGTTTGAAACCAAAAGGAGAAAATGCATGTAAAGAACCTTGCACGGCACTGGGCACAAAGCAAGCAGCCGGATGTTGGCCGATGTGTGTGGACTGCAGTAGGGTTTCTCCTCCCCAAGTTTGGAATTTGCATGTAGTATGATGGCAGGTACTACAGGCTTTAAAACAGCTGCGATCACTAAGTTCCTACCATCACAGACGATGCTGGAATTAACATATGTATGACTTCTAATCTTACCAAATGTATGCAAAGTAGGAATAATTATCTCCAAATTACAGTCCAAAGAAGGCTCCAGTAAACTTAACCGGGGACACTCCTATCCATTTTGCAGGTAAGGCTCTAGAATAGGCAAATGATCGGCTCAGGGGAGTATTTCTTATATTTTACAAATATTTTTATTATGAAGAGTGGTGGTAATAGTATGTAGGTTCCCTATAAATGTCTGCTAATAAAACAAAATGATTTTTAATAGCTAAATTTTAATGTGTATTAGAAAAACTACACATTCCCAAATAAACGCAGTCTTTCAGATACTATTATTCAGGATTAAACTAGGCAGCCTCAATGTTAATCCACTTACATACACCACGTGTGAGTTACAGCTGGGGTGTTCAGGTATGCCCACAAATATTTCCAGCTTTTAACAACAGAACCTTCAAATATGTCTTAAGCATGGAGGAGACTGGGTATCACCACGCCTCTTCTGTGTGATGGATGGGAAGATGAATATGGATTACATGTACAGATTCTCATGCTGCATTTTCATACACCTTGCAGGAAGACTTGGGAACTCAAGCTGCTGCCTGGAAGCAAGATCGAAGCATTGCTGCTTACCTAGGGGGCTCTCACCAATGCCATGGACAGGACAGAACATGAATTTTACCCCGTCCTCATGCAGCATGATATTAACAGATGGAACTTCTAAGGCTGTTTAAAATGGTAAGTCGTGTTAGAGGTATTCTTTTAATTCTTTGGCTCTGTTAAGAGATGAGCAGTCATCCCACCTCACACCTGAGGCGCACCGGATTCTGCAGGCAGCAGTCTTGTCCACTATTCGTTTTGAAGAATCTTGTCTTTCTGGATGAAGCTTTTAATCTGGTGATCACATATGTGATTGGAACTGGCTGTGCAAATGAACTTGCAGGAATTTTGCATGTATGAATGAAACACGTATCTTCACAAGGCAAGTTTACATCAGTATTGCACACTAGAGCTGTGAGGTATACTCCCTGATCATGCTGGCTTTGTTTAGATCTAAATCTCAGAAAAGAATCAAGTGGCTATAGTTTACCTTGACAATGCTCTTTAACTATTCTGAACATTGTGAGAGATTCTTGAAGGATTTGATAAAACATCTTCGATTATTTTCCCAACCTAGATGGCAGCAATGAGCAGAGAGAAGCCTTTCCCTGCATTACTTGGTCAACATTTCCAGTAACTCCAGAATGTGGAGATGTTTCCTATGGCTCCTTGAAAGTTACTCACACTACTTTATTTGTGGATTCTCAGTATGTAATTCAAAGTCAGTTGAGAGTTTTTGTTTCCTACTGTATGTGAGTTAGAATTCTTGGCACTTACCAATGATTAATACAGGATCTCACCTTTGTCTTAAACTTAGCAATATGAGGCAGATATCTTTTTAGGACTGATGGATCATTAAATAGTTCTATTCTCATTAAGGAATTTATTTTCAGGGATATAAAATACTGTGACTAAGTTCAACTTTTTCATTATGTTTTAGCATTCTGATTATGACAAGTGATACTAGTTTATAGCAGTGATAACAAAAGTTCTTGATAAAAACCCGATGTCTGACAAGCTATCCCTTTATGCTAACACTACACTTCGGTGTCACGTGAATTCAGTGGGCAACGCCGGGCACAAAGGCACTAGAGACAAGTCACGAAAAGCTTCTCCTACTTAAACGCGCTTCCTAATCCAAACATGTTTTTGAGCGGCGCTCCCCAGTCGTCTTCGCCACGCCAACACACGGAGGTGCCGTACTCTTCCAGGGCAGGGGTTGGCACAGTTTTTCTGTAAAGGCCAGATAGTAAATATTTTCAGCTTTTCAGGGCATATGGCTTCTGTTGCAACTACTCGACTTTGCTGTTGTAGGGTGAAACAGCCATGGACTCCACCTAACCAAATGAGCAGGGCTTGTTCTTTTGTACAAAGGCAAGGCAGTGGGCTGGCTTTGTTCTGTGGGCCACGGTGGTCGGCTGCCCCTGCTCCAGGGAACTGGGCAGACTGGGGAGGATATTGCTGAAGGTCATTCTTCTCTACCTTCTCACCTCCAGAGTTTCTGGTCTTGAGTAAGGACACATGGGAACGTGTGGAGAAAATTGTCAAGTATCTCTCCTAAAGAGCATTCGCAGAATGGGCACAAAGCTCTGTCGGCAGGGAAGACTGTTCTAGGTTCAAATGAAGTTCTTAGTAATATTAAAATAACTGAATATAGAATTCTCTCCCTCAATTATAACTTTTTTTCCTTACGGGAAATTCTAGAATACAGGGATATATTGCTGAATACCTTTTCCTTAACTATGAGAATTTGTTGCAGAATTACATTACTCCCACTAGGGATGGAAAGGAGGAAGGGTTTGGGAATAGAAAAGGTAAGTACTTAATTTAAAAAAAAATGTGTCACTGTGCACTTCTTAATAAAAATAGGAAAAAAGAAAAGGTAGGTAAATAGTAGATCCAGCATTCCAGCTTTGAGAGACACACAACATACAAGTCAACACATGCTGGCATGTAACAGCACCCTGGCTTTCCTGTAGTTTTGGAGATTTTTGAGACAAGGTTTCATTTCCATCACCCAGGCTGGAATACAATGGCACAATCTCAGCTCACTGCAGCCTCCACCTCCTGGGCTCAAGTGATTCTCCTGCCTCAGCCTCCTGAGTAGCTGGGGCTACAGGCATGTGCCACTAAGCTCGGCTATGTTTTACTTTTTTTTTTTTTTTTTGGTAGAGATGGGTTTCACCATGTTGCACAGGCCGGTCTTAAACTCCTGGGCTCAAGTGATCTGCCCACCTTGGCCTCCCAAAGTGCTGGGATTACAGTTGTGAACCACTGCCCCTGGCGTTCCCATAGTTTTAAGAGAGCTGGGACATAAGAGGAACTGACTGCATGTATTTTGGCATGAGCATACTACCAGCAAGGCTGAGACGGGGTGTGTGTGTGACATATAACTAACCCTCTACATTAGAAAGGAGGTTGGGGAAACACTTATCCATTGATGCTGCCTAAATTTCCTCAAAGCTCTTTCTACCTGTAAGTATCCTCTCTATAGGCCAAAGCAAAAATCAAAAAATTAGACACTGAAGGCCAGGTGCAGGGCTCACACGTGTAATCCCAGCACTTTGGATGGTGGATCACCTGAGGTCAGGAGTTTGAGACCAGCCTGACCAACATGGAGAAACCCCGTTTATACTAAAAATACAAAATTAGCCTGGTGTTGTGGTGTGTGCCTGTAACCTCAGCTACTTGGGAGGCTGAGGTGACAGAGTTGCTTGAACCCAGGAGGCAGAGGTTGCGGTGAGCCAAGATTGTGCCACTGCACTCCAGCCTGGGTAACGAGTGAAACTCCATCTCAAAAAAAAAAAAAAAAAAAAAAAAAAAAAAAAAAAAAAAAAAAAAAAAAAAAAAAAAAAAAAAAAAAAAAAAAAAAAAAAAAATTATATATATATATTTGGCAGAAAATGAGCCCACATCAGGACCTTCCCCTTAGATTCTTTGGGGCCCCTGACCAGATCTTGGTAGGTGTGAGAAACACAACTCACTCTCTCTATATATATTATATATATATAAAATATGTATATATATATATAGAGAGAAATATATATATATTTAAAAAATTGGACACTGAATAGTTTGATGAGATGAAGAGACACTGAAAATCCACCGGCCAAAATAACCCTAACAAACTGAGAGGAATTTCTCAGTAATGCACAGAAACTCTTGAGAAGGGATGGGGTAGGATTCTTAAAAGCTTCCAGGAAGAGATGATAAATTAACCACCTGTTCACTACTATACTCAATTAAGATGTATAAAATGTGATTTAACATTGTATTTAGTGTGTTATTTTAAAAATCAGCTTAAAACATATTGTAAGGTTTTTCACAGGCTTACCTACAGCTCAAATGCCCATCCTTAGCTGTTGTGTTTCTCATACCTACCAAGATCTGGTTAAGGGCCCCAAAGAATCTAAGGGGAAGGGCCTGATGTGGGCTCATTTTCTGCCAATTCAGATAACTTTCCTGTATCAACATGTAGGTAGAAGTCTGGTATCTCATACAGATGAATGGTAATGAGATACTAGCTTTTATTGAGGAATAACTTCTCAGTTTTAATGATGAACTTTGTCATCTTCACATCTCCTTGAATATAACTTTAAGATTAAACAAAACTAGTTTTCTCTAATTCTCAGTTGCTCTTGACAGCAAGCCAAGAACATCCAGATAGAACCAGATCTGTCTACGTTAATAATACATTTACTTCCTATATCGTTGTTTTAGATTCCAATAATTTTATTTTTTCTCACTCCCTCTCCCTGTCCCAAATATCACACGTTTTTCAATTGTTAAGTATGTAGTGCAGTCGTCTCCACCGTGCGCCCTTTGCTGTTCCAGAGCTTTAAGTGATGTCCAGGTCAACACTACTTACGCCAGCGCAGCAGCTCTTTGGATAAACAGAGACAAATGTAAGGATCCAAGAGGCCACTTCCAATGACTGCTGCTATCTCTTGCCTCTACAGATCATTCTGTGCTATTTTTGTTTTATAAGCCTGGAAATAGAGTATTATGCACAGTGAGAAGCTGGTTTCACTTTCTGCAGTCTCTATTCACTCATGCATGCCAGGTATCAAACAATCCCTATCAGATTGGTAAAACCTCTTTTCTCTGTGGAGAAATGACTCTTGGTTTTGGGCCTCTCCATTTATGCAGGATGATCAGAAAGGGATTTCTCTTCCTCACCCATGGCCAGGTGTCTGGTACAGGGGATGGCGGTGAGGCCATCCCAGCCAGCATGCAGGAGTGTGCTGCGGCCCTGTTCCTGCTGTCGGACCTACCTGCTACTCACTAGGCACCAATTTCATCAAATCCCAATTAGAATCAGATTTTGATTTTTTTTTTTTTTTTTTTGGAGGTAGAGTTTCACTCTTGTCACCCAGGCTAGAGTGCAGTGGTGCGATCTCAGCTTACTGTAACCTCCACCTCCTGGGTTCAAGCAATTCTCCTGCCTCAGCCTCCCGAGTACCTGGGATCACAGATGCCCACCACCATGCCCAGCTAATTTTTATATTTTGAGTACAGACAGGGTTTCACCGCGTTGGCCAGGCTGGTCTTAAACTCTTGACCTCAGGTAATCTGCCCACCTTGACCTCCCAAAGTGCTGGGATTATAGGTGTGAGCCACCAAGCCCAGCCCCAAAATACTGGTTTTTGATTGCGCAAATCCCAGCCCTTTGGGAGGCTGAGACAGGTGGGTCACCTGAGGTCAGGATTTCAAGACCAGCCTGACCAACATGGAGAAACCCCATCTCTACTAAAAATACAAAATTAGCCGGGCGTGGTGGTGCATGTCTGTAATCCCAGCTACTTGGGAAGCCGAGGCAGGAGAAATCACTTGAATCTGGGAGGTGGAGGTTGCAGTGAGCTGAGATCGTGCCACTGTACTCCAGTCTGGGCGATAAGAGTGATATTGTCTCAAAAAAAAAAAAAAAGCCAGAAAAAACCCTAGCAGCTATAAGGAAGAAAAAAACAAGACAAATAAGTGACAAGATGAAACAGAGGACAAGGGCAATTATGTAAATTCTAATTAAATCTTATACAGGCTGTTACAACCAAACCTCTAATAAAACCCCAGAGTCCCCAGGTAATAGCTCATTCGCCAGGGCATGTCAGATACTGCAAAACTGTAAAAGGAAAAGCAATTCAGAGAATCCCTCAGAAGTCCTCATTAATGGAACGGGACCTGTTATTTAGGCTGGAAATATAGAAAGGCTTACTCAGACGCCTGAAACTCCAGCTACAACACAGGATGAAGTACCCAGTGAAGAGCATCGTGATGCTGCCCACTCCACTCTTCCTTATGGTGGTGTTGCACCTGATCCAGCCTGTTCAGAAGGAAACATGGCTTGTTACAGCGACCGGAACTAGGGTCAGATCCGCGAGTCATTCAAGTTTTCCCAGTTAGCTTGGGTGATGGAACTGTAATTCAGAGAATTTACACACACATATTTTAAACACATAACAGCTAACTAACATCAAGGAACCGTAACGTGACTAGATTCAAATTAGTTACTCTTGTTTTAGGAGCTTGGCTAAAATCTTTAGTGGGAGGAGGTTAACTTGACGTTTAGAGTCCTGGCTTTGGGAGGAGGCGCAATCGATGTGGGCAAGGGAAAGCTGGGGGTAGGTATTAAAAAATACAAGCTTTGGAACACATGGTAGTTGTTATTAATTTCGGTGCTTTCAGTTATGTCAAACTCCAAAATGAAAACAGACATTTAAACATCTTTTTCTTCTCCTCTTGAACCTTGCTATAACAGCCTAAAGGGAAACTTTTCCAACTGCCTGGAACCAGCAACAGAATGCAACAGTCAAACTCCAGCCTCACCTTTTTGTACAGCTCCCAAGAACCTCATTAGAGAGAAACTGAAGGTTGTAAGTCCGGTAGGGGGTTCCAAATTCCTCATATGAGTCGAGCTTCTTTCCAACAAAGAAACTACGGTCCCAAACAGAAGTCACTGTCATTGTTTACCAAAGTGTACCCCCTTCCCCAACATCCAGTGCCAAAGGTTCCAGGGCTAAGCCTCAGGAAAAGCATATTCTAAACAGGTGCATTAAAGATTTCTGCTTTGAACTGCAGCTAAGTGTTGAAAGTCAAATCAATTCCAGGTTGAAAAGGGTTTTTCAAAAGGCCAAGGGAAATCCCCTGAAAATCAGGACCTCTACTTATTTTTAGTCTGATGAGTACCCTGGCCCGGTGATTCATGTGCATGTGCTTCATGAAGTGGGTCTTTTACATCATTTATTTATTTATTTTTTTTTGGAGACAGAGTCTCGCTGTTGCCCAGGGTGGAGTGCAGTGGCTTGATCTCAGCTCAGAGTGCAACCTCCGCCTCCTAGGTTCAAACAATTTTCCTGCCTCAGCCTCCCGAGTAGCTGGGATTACAGGCATGTGCTATCACACCAAGCTAATTTTTGTATTTTTAGTAGAGACACGGTTTCACCATGTTGGCCAGGCTGGTTTCGAACTCCTGACCTCATGTGATCTTCCCGCCCCAGCCTCCCAAAGTGTTGGGATTACAGGCGTGAGCCACTGCGCCTGGCCTCTTTCACATCTTCTAGGACCGGCTAAACGTTTTAGCCAAAAGCATGACTTTCTACTATAATAAATGACTGCAACTTGTCCACAGTCAACATGCCTGTTCTATTACCCTATCGCTATTACTGGCCAGCATCATTTCCTATATATGTTCAGTACATGCATAACTTAAGCAGAACCAGAAAAGAGGGCTTAATCGCCTTATCACGTTTCTCCTGCACATGGCTTTCTCTGTGTTTAATGCTAGGTAATCTCTACGACTGGCAGTTCTCTAGTCTTGGTTTTGTTAGTCAGGATAAACAATAAATTAAACACCGATTAACAGGTTTAGCAGGTATAGTAACCATTGCTGTGGATGTTAAAGATGTTAAAGAACAATGAAAAGAATTATGTTGGCTTCCAGGAAATTGGACAGAAGATAATTCTTTTGCAAGGTGAAGGTTAGTCCCTTTAAAAAAAAGTCCATTCATCTTGGAAAAAATTTGAGGAAAAAGATGCCTTGCCCTGCTTTCTCTAATCGGGTGAGCCTACTGGCCTGTCCTGATTAAGCTAACAGTTAATTCAGTCACTGTTAGCTCACTGGCCCTGCCTTTCCGTATCAAAGGAGCTGGCTTCCTGAGAAGAGCAAATGACTTATCAAAGGTCTTGCCTGAGTGAGAAAGGGTATATAGCCTATTCTCTTGTGCAGATTCCAGTAAAACTCAACTCTAATTTGCAGCCTTTGGATAGCCATTACCTGGTGAAATTACAAAGCTTTTCAGGAGCCAATGGCATTACCTTCTTTTTTTTTTTTAGACATAGTCTCATTCTTGTCACCCAGGCTGAAGTGCAATGGCATGGTCTCAGCTCACTGCAACTGCCACCTCCCGGGTTCAAGTGATTCTCTTGCCTCAGCCTCCCCAGTAGCTGGGATTACAGGCTCGTGCCAACACACCTGGCTAATTTTTGTATTTTTAGTAGAGATGGGATTTCACTATGTTGGCCAGGCTGGTCTCGAACTCCTGACCTCGTGATCCACCTGCCTCGGCCTCCTGAAGTGCTGGGATTACAGGCGTGAGCCACCGCGCCCGGCCAGCACTACCTTTTAATCCCTGTAGACTGATGTGGCCTTGAAGTCCTTGGCCAAAGGAGGGATCAGGGCTTGACACGATCCTAGGGTCTCTCTCCTCTGGTATCTTCTGTTCGTTTGGTGGTAACATCAGAGTCTGAATACTGATCCCGGATCCAACTTCAATAATTTTTCAAAAGTAGAGGCCCTATGATGATTATACCTAATTTACCATCTGATATAGAAGTACTGAACTAAGCACAGCATTTATTAGTTACAGACTATAAGCAATAAAAGGAAATAAAATAGTTTCTCACCACTATTTGGAAGGAACTTACTGAAGAAAAAACTTGTATTTCCCCGCCTACATTCTATCTCATAATGTTGCTAATTTACTATTTTAAGTTACTGTATCTTATTACTATATTCTTCGAACCTAACAGTGAAATGGATCGGTAACATGGCAAACAAGGTATTGACTTCTATCGGTGGTCTTTAAACTCTTGAGGTTTACTGCCTAGGATAATTAGTAGAGTCAGATGAGCCTGGATTTGAATCCTGATTCCGTCACTTACTGCACAGATATGGGCAAGTCACTTAAGATGTCTGAAGCTCAGATTCCTCATGAGGAATAACAGGGCGGGACAGTGGTGTCACCTCAGAGCTGTTACGAGGATTAAATGAGATAATGTAATGCATGTAGCATAATGATAGTCAAACGTCAGGTCCCTCCCTTTTTCCCTCTAAAATGGAAAGTGCTTATCAAGGACACTCCTAAGCACTAAAAAGATAGTACAGAAACTACAAAAGTCCTTCAACTTGCTAGAGTGATTTATCATGGAGCGAGTGTGTGCATTTGCAATTGAAAAACACACAGAAAAGTGTGGCACTATAACAACGTGGTTTTAGTTATGGTGTATTTTCTACAACACAATTTAGTGGACAGGATTAAACTAGGCCTCAGGAAACTAGGTTCTCTTTGCAGCTCTACTGTGTATTGGCAACACGAACTTGGACAAATGACTTATTCGCTTTGTGCCTGTTTCATCATCTGCAAAATAGGGATAAATTCATTCTGCCCACCTCTCAGAGTTGTGTGGCCAAAATAAAAAAAATACATGCCGGGCACAGTGGCTCAGATCTATAATCCCAGCACTTTGGGAGGGCGAGGCGAGTGAATCACCTGAGGTCAGGAATTCGAGACCAGCCTGACCAACATGATGAAACCCCGTCTCTATTAAAAAACATAAAAATTAGACGGGTGTGGTGGTGCATGCCTGTAATGTCAGCTACTCGGGAGGCTGAGGCAGGAGAACTGCTTGAACCCGGGAGGTGGAGGTAGCAGTGAGTCAAGATCATGCCACTATACTCCAGTCTGGGTGACAAAGTGAGACTCCATCTCAAAAAATAAATAAAAAGGCACGCTGAAAACCACAAAGCAACACAAATGTTAATATGATTAAATGTGTTTATTATAGAGAAGGGGCTTGACTTTGTGACTACAAGTTTGTACAAAAAGGTTTAGACATTAGGCCTGCTTATAGAAGGCAGTTAAAGAAAATGTAGCTTTGGGGAGGGTGCAGTGGCTCACACCTATAATCCCAACACTTTGGGAGGTTGAGGTGGGTAGATCACAAGGTCAAGAGATCGAGACCATCCTGGCCAACATGGTGAGACCCTGTCTCTACTAAAAATACAAAAATTAGCTGGGTGTGGTGGCGTGTGCCTGTAGTCCCATCTACTGGGGAAGCTGAGACAGGAGAATCACTTGAACCCAGGAGGCGGAGGTTGCAGTGAGCCGAGATCACACCACTGCACTCTATCCTGGTAACAGAACGAGACTCCATTTCAAAAAAAAAAAAAGTAGCTTTGGACTAGCAATGCTCTGCTCTTAGTACACATCCATTTTGAGACCAGGCAAATAGAGGTTCAGTGACTATGAGATCATTTGCAAAATGTTTTCCTGAGCCTCCACCTCCACTTACCTGCCTTGCCTGCCCTCTTACTCGGCTAGTTTTACCTGCATCATTCTTTGCTACTCTAAATGCCTAGATGTTGAAATTGCCCATAAACCTAGAACCTATTTCTTGTACAACCTGGTCCTGACTGGATTCTGAACACAGTGCTTATTCTATTCTTTCAACTGCTTTCAGTATCACCAGCCTACTGCAAACTAGTGCAACGTTCAACTAGTGCAACTTTCAATACTTGGGGGAGAGAAACAGAGGGATAAACCACGACTACTGACCCCTAAAGCAAGAAGTAATGTTTTTAAGACATTTTTTTTTAAGACAGGGTCTCACTCCCATCGCCCAGGCTACAGTGAAGTGACATATACATGGCTCACTGCAGCCCTGACTTCCCCGGGCTCAGGTGATTCCCCGCCTTTAGCCTCCTGACCAAAGTGCTTAGATTACAGGAATCAGCCACTGCACCCAGCCTCTTTCAGGACAATTTTATGTGCAGTCCACTGGCATGCCTAGATGAAAGTAAGCTAAATGATTGAAAATGTTAGTATTTTGACCCTTATAAATTCAAATGGTAGAGATAGCATTTTGGATGGGACAGATGGCCCTTGAAAATAAGCTTGTTTACCTTGTGAGAGTGTTTTCCCCTGTGGACTGGTAAGTTGTGGCTTCTGGGACACTGCATTCCAATACTGAGGCTTCCCTGGCAACACCCCCAGTCCAAGGTAACCAGGATAGAGCTCTGGAAACCACTCCAGCCCCATGCAGCTAGGAAGGGGCTTCCTGCCAGCAGCTGCAGCATGATTGGTGAAGGGACTCTGAGGAGTGTGATGCTCGGTTGAATGTAAAGGGCTCTGGCACCCAGTGCGTGATGCTTGGAACTGACGGACTGATTTGGGCTCCAGAGACACCTGTCCCTCAGGACTCTCCATTAATGCCTTGACACCAGGAACATGATTATGACTCCAGGCTTCTGCTTTCTCTTCTTGAAGAAATTTTGTAGCTAGAGAAGCAAGACTTTGACCACTTGGCTGTGATACAGAATGAAACTCGTAAGTTGTCTCCCTTGGAATGAACAAACTGAAATGTGGTCCTTCACCTTGAGACTTCTTTCCTGTGGCTGAATCCTTGGTGCTGAAGTTCTCAGAGCCATGGCTTAAGGCAGTCCATTCCTGCTTTTCTGTTGCGGACACACTTTTCTCTGCATTTTTTTTGCTCCCACACATCTCTGCTCCAAGCGTAAGTCCTTTCTCTTGGTTCTCCATGACTTGGATTTTACCTAATGAGCTCATTTTAAGGCTTAAAATGAGTGATTCTGTGTTCTTTTCTGGAGTCTCAGTGACTCGAACATCAGCAGGGACTCCTGAGAGGTGATCCCTGCCTTTGGAATCTCTCTTATTGCTTGACAATGATGTTCTTACCCTTTTAACCCCATCACTGACGTTCTTCGGAGAACTATGACAATCCTCAGTGGGCCCGTCTAGTAATTTTACTAGAAGTTCCTGTCTTTGGGGATCAATTTTGTCCAATAGCAGATCACAAGAGGTAGTTTGTATATGATTAGGTATAGTTGAGGAATATTTTCTATCTTGATTTGACAAAGAAGGTTCTATTGAGCCAACCAGTAAAGATGCTCCAGCTTCTGAAGGATGACATTGACTTTCTCCTGATTCAGGCAGATCTGTTGCAAGTTGTCTTTTAGGAGAGGTGTTCTCTGCTGCATAAAACTGAGCCTTGGTTTCTTCTTGGAAAGCAGTCTTCGGCTTAGCATTTTTTGGCATTTTGAAGGATGGTTGGGTTGGATTCTTGCCGTCTTTATCTGCCTCTGTAGTTGCTCTTCCCAAACCAACAACAGGTAGTGGAAAGGACTTCACTGTCTGTTCTGGTTTGTCCATCATCAACTTAGAATTTCTTTCTTCATTCTCTTTCTCTAACTCTTTCCCTTTAGCTTTAATTACAGCAACTTTGATTGGCCCTTTCATTTTTTTAGCATGTGGGAGTGAAGTAGGCTTGGACTGATAAACTTTTTGTTCAGTAGGTATGGTTGGTCCTATCATCTTACAGTATGGCAAGTGGGATTTTAATCGTTTAAATGGCTTCTTACAATAAGGGCACACTTCCATTCTGGATGGATTATCACTCATCCTATTCCTGAAAAAGGTAAATGTCAGATTATGAGGAGCACATAGTTTGTAAATATTAATATTTTACTTATGCGTTGGATCTTTTAAATTCATTTGGAACAAGCTAGATGTTTGCTACTTAAGGTTACAGAAGTCAACTAGACATTACATGAGTATGAAAAATTGTTTTAAGACCCCTAAATACATTATTCAAGGACAGAATGGTAAAGAATAAAAAACTCATTCCAGGAATTTATTTATTTTGATGACAAGAGTCTTGCTCTGTCACCCAAGCTGGAGTGCGGTGGCACAATCTCAGCTCACTACAACCTCCACCTCCTAGGTTTAAGCAATTCTCTTGCCTCAGCCTCCCAAGTAGCTGAGACTACAGGGGCATGCCACCACATGTAGCTAATGTTCTGTATTTTAGTAGAGACAGGGCCATGTTGCCCAGGCTGATCTCAAACTCCTGAGTTCCAACAATCTGTCTACCTCAGCCTCCCAAAGTGCTGGGATTACAGGCGTGAGTCACTGCGCCCGGCCAAAGATTACCGATTACAGCAGAGGTTTTCAAAGTGATATATGGAAGATTCACTGGGGTGTAAAAAGAAAATATGAGAACTCCCACAATCTAAGAATGACAAATGAAATTCTACTAACATTTAATTAGTAATATGCATATATACACAAAGACATATAAAATGTATGTATAATGCACAAATATATACATGGTAAGGACACAGTCCTATTTTTCATAGTTATAGTACAATAGATTGTTGGCAAATTTGTTTAGTTTGACATCTTTGTTAAATACATACCATGTAAAAATTTTTAAAAAACATACCATTACATATGTATCTTTCTGTTAAGAGTCCAGAAAGAAAATGTTTAATTCCAAAGTTTAGTTGAAAGTTATTTCCTTTCTATATTTCTTATTCTCTCTGTAAACTTCCAGAGGGCAAGAAACATATCCTGTGCACAGCTGTATGTAAAAACCTAGCACTGAGCTGACATACAATATTTGTTGAATGAATTATTTCTCTAGATACAAATGTTTAAATATTATTCAGTACTACAACTGATAATATCTTCTGACCACCAAAGAGATTAAAAAGGGTGACTGAAACACTGAAACCACTTCCAAAATACACCCAATCCTGACCAATGCATTTATTAAAGCAACAGAGCCATCTTATCCTGTACAAAGTCATTCAAAACGAAACTGTTGTCTGTCAACAGATTACAGTAATCATTCTTACTTTGTTGTTTGTTTGTTTGAGATGGAGTCTTGCTTTGTCGCTCAGGCTGGAGCGCAGTGGCACGATCTCGGCTCACTGAAACCTCTGCTTCCCCGGTTCAAGTGGTTCTCCTGCCTCAGCCTTCCGAAGAGCTGGGATTACAGATGCATGCCACTACGCCCGGCTAATTTTAGTATTTTTAGTAGAGATGGGGTTTCACCATGTTGGTCAGGCTGGTCTCGAACTTCTGATCTCAAGTGATCCACCCGCCTCAGCCTCCCAAAATGTTGGGATTACAGGCGTGAGCCATCATTCTTTGGAGGTACACATCGACAACACGATGAAAGCCATAGACCGTTTGTTTACAAAACTATACAAAAATGAAGCCAGTCCATGGACCTTTGGCTAACAAGGTTAGAAAGGCTTGACACCTGCTAGACGTTTCTGCCTCTAATCCACCTCACACTCAATCCTACTTGAAAGATCTCTGTACGTTCTCACGGTAACGTCTACACGTGGGTGTCTGTTTTCTTACCCGAGCTCTTCTAGGAGGCTAGTTTTGCGAGTACTTCTCCCGGATGCCCATGCTTCCGGATCACCGTTCCCGGGTGTGGCGGAATGAAACGTGAATGTCTGCCTGTGTAAGACACGATCAGACAGGTGACTCGGCAGCACGCACAGTGAGTAAATGCGGCAAAGTACCGAACCAAATACAAACACAGGGTCCGGAAAACAAGAGTTAAGACCCGCGCGCCCCCTCCGCCCCCCCGCCAGCCTCCGGGCTCAAGGAGGACCTCCTGGTTCCTTTAATCCTCACGGTTCCTTTCATCCTCACCCTCACTTCCAGCGCTCTCCAGCCGCTTTTCCCTCCTCCCGCCGCGCTACCAGCCTGCCCACCTCCCCGCACTCTTCCTTTCCCAGAAAGCGGTTTCGATTCTGCCTAGCGGAGTGCATGGGGTCGGCCCGGCAGCTCCTGGGTCAGGGGCCGGCGTTCCTGCAACCCCACTGAGGGGTTCAGGGTCCCTCCTGCGGTTTCGGGAAGACCTTCCGCCGGCCCCAGCACCCAATACCCGATACCCTCGCCCGGCACCCTATGCCCTCCCTTCTCCGCTCAGGACAGTTTCCCCCAGTCTTAGAACGTGGGCCGCGGAAGGCAACCCCACCCTTGGAAGCCCACCGCAGAGAACAGGCCTCACCTCGGAAGACCTGAAAGCGGTGGCCCGGACGACAAGCCCCCCAGGGTATCCCCCCAGCGCCTGCCCAACCCCCGGCCAGAGCCCCGCGTCAGGCCATCTGCACCACTGCCTAATGGGCCCCCCTATTTTTAAAAACATATTACCTCACATGAATTCAACTCAAATACTTGTGTGATATTATTATGACATAATTTAATTTATTTGAAACCTGGCTTGACTTTTATACCCTACCCTCCGTTGGCTGTGAACAGGCGAACGCTTCGGCCACCCTCAGAGAGGTCCTTTCTCCCAGATGCTCCGAGTCGCTCCTCCCGCTCCGAGCCCGCCTCTTCCCGTGGGCGGGGTTACCGGTCGGCGCGGCTGGGATCGCGCCACTGCGCAGCCGCGAGAGGGCGGTACCACGGCGGCGGCGACATGGGGGGGCGCGGAGCAGACGCCGGAAGTAGCGGTGGTACAGGTCCGACTGAGGGGTACTCACCACCGGCTGCGTCCACCCGAGCGGCTGCGAGAGCCAAGGCCCGAGGGGGTGGGCGTGGCGGCCGCCGAAACACAACCCCCTCTGTTCCCTCTTCTCGCGGAGCGGCGCCGCGTATCTTCCCTCCGCCAGCTGCCATGAGCGAGCGCCTCCGTCCCAGGTGAGAGGGTAGGGACCCCCTTTCCACTCGTTGCCTGAGGATCTGGGAGATGGAGCTGAGGGGCTGCGCTAAACGGGGGTCGGAGTAAGGGTGGACCCGGCGGGGCTCCCTGTGGGGCTCACTGCGGGCCGGGGGAGGAGGGGAGAGGGATGCTCGAGTGATCGGATGCTTGGTTCCTGTGGGTAGCTGGAAGGTGACTCTCGGGGGTCCAGGTCTCCCGCCCTTCCGTCTCCCCCACCTCCATCTTTCCCTATTTGGAACGAAAAGTGATCGGTCCCGGAAGAGGGATGGTGGCCCTAAAGCTTCCCTGTCCTATATTTAGGAGAGTGGGGGGATGGGAGAAACGTCTGATCTTGGAGGGGGAGCCCCCTAAGGCTTTTGGGAGGGCACCGGGCGGGGAGCTGCCGGCTCCCCAAGGTCAGAAAGAAAGGTTGGGCTTAACTCCTCGGCAGGGAGGGATTAGGTTAGACCGAATAACTTGGGTTCCGGACGGTTGTGAACACAGAAGGGCAGATGCCCAAGGTGGGTTGTGCAGCCTCTCTGGACTGTAGCATTTAAAACAGGCGGGATTCTAAACTGTTTGGATGCGGGGCCGTTTGACTCCGAAGGCGGGAGGTAGGATTTCATCGCGATGCACTCGCTACTTTCCCAAGGGAGCCTGGCTGGCCTCGGGAGCCGGGTCTTAATTTAGAGGTTCTGTGCTTGACATGTACTTCTAGAGTACGGACTAAGTTGGGATTTCTTGGTTTTTTTTTCAAGTTTTTAATTTCCTCTGCAAGAATATGTGGAGGAGAAAGTTGGGAAGGGTTACCTCAGAATGAAGTCCAAACACGCTCATTTTTCCGAATGAAGAAATGGATTTAGAGAGATCATTTGATTTACACGGGTCCTACAGGTTCGCTTTTCCTTCCTTTATTCCATAGTGGTCTCGGGTTTAAGTGAATAAAGATGGATCATAGGATTGCCTTGGTAGACTGCTGCTGGATCTTTTCATGCTTCATGTTTTCATCGGCTCTTCATGTTATGGTCTTTCCACAAGGATCCTTCTCTGAAATAGTTATTTCATGGGATTGAAGTTCTGAAAAGTATCCTGAGGGGCCGGGTGCAGTGGCTCACGCCTGTAATTCTAGCACTTTGGGAGGCCAAGGCGGGTGGATCACGAGGTCAGGAGTTCAAGACCAGCCTGGTCAACACGGTGAAACCCCATCTCTACTAAAAACACAAAAATTAGGCGGGTGTGGTGGCGGACCTGTAATCCCAGCTCCTTGGGAGGCTGAGACCGGAGAATCGCTTCAATCCAGAAGGCAGAGGTTGCAGTGAGCTGAGATTGTACCACTGCACTCCAGCCTGGGTAATAAGAACGAAACTCAGTCACAAAAAATAAAAAAAATATTGTGGTTTTTCAGGCTGTCCTACAGTAGATTGGATAGCCACAGAGAGGTAGATGTGTGGTGAGGGAGTCCCTGCTTATTTATTGATTGGTTGATTGATTGACTGATTGATTGACAGAATCTTACTCTGTCGACCAGGATGGAGTAGTGGCCCAGTCATGCCTCACTGCAGCCTCAGCCTCCCCAGGCTCAGGGGATCTTCACACTTCAGCGTTCTGAGTAGCTGGACCACAGTGTGAGCTACCACACCCAGCTAATCTTTGTATTTTTTGTAGAGATGGGATTCCCCATATTGCCCAGGCTATCTTGAACTCCTGGGCTCAAGGGACCTACCCACCTCAGCCTCCCTAAGTGCTGGGATTATGGGCGTGAGCCACCTCACCCAACTGGGAGTCCCTACTTTAACAGATCCTTTATCTCTTTATGTAGAGAGTACTTTTTACAGTAAGAAAAAAACGAGTTCTACTGCTTTTTAAAATAAAGTTTGAAAACTACTAGTTTCCATCTTAAGATTACTTCTATGCCCAGTCTTTAGGAGAAGACAGGAAGGTTGGAGAGAAATCAAATAATGCAATGTGATGGAATCAACCATCTTTAGAACTAACAGTTGCTAACCCGTAATTTGCATCTAGATGGTTAGGGGAGAATATAACCATTAGGGGTACCTGCTAAAATTATAATCTGGTCTGTGGCATTAATGCCAAAAACTGAAATCTGATTGATTGAACCGATAGGGTTGAGCATGAAGCTGTGATCTTGCCAGTTGTTGACACCATTATTGAAAAGAATGTTTCAAGAATGAGATCTGCTAAGAACCTAGAAAAAGGCAAACGAAGAACGGGTAGGACTCGTTCTTAATCTGGTAGCATCGAAAGGAGAAGGCCACCAACAGGCTGAAGAGATTATTCTGGTACCTTGAGAGATCAAATAACTTACGAGGTAGGGATAGTTCCTGTGGCTCTCCCAGAAATTAGTTGAAATCCACAAAACCAGCTCTTCTTTTTTGTTCTTACCCTGCTTCTGCCATGCAACCTCCTTGTCATAGTCTTGTCTCTGGGAAGATCTATCCTCCATTATAAATGAGGAGATGGCAAATTTTGATCAGGCTCATAAGTTTGGTTAGAGTGACTCAGCAGCCCAAAGCCCAATCAGCTGTCGGCATGCTGATAAAGTGAGTGTTTGGGGGCCAGCAGCTGCTGCTTACTCAAATGAGTTTCTCTTTGGGTGTCAACTGGCCTCCCAGCAGTCATTGCTTTGCCTCTGTAGAACGCTCCCATGAAAACTCTCTGATCATATTAGGATGAAATTAGCAGTTTCTTGGTTCAAATGTATGATAAAAGTACATCCATTTAATGATTATTAAAACCTGATATTCATCTATTTTTTTTTAACCTCCAATTACTTCAAAGTAATGTGCAGCTAAGATCTGATCTAAGAAAAAGGTAGGGAGCAGAAATGATGTCTTAGAATGAGGTAAATTATGTAGCCCACTGCAGGACGGCTGAAGCTTTATCAGAACCACACACTCACTCTTTATTATTCCAAACTTAAGCTGGGATCCATACTCATTATTAAAGTTAGACCTATTCAGAATGTTGCAGAGTACAGAGTACAGGATGGTCATTTAGTTTCTCCAATATTCAGACCTCAACTCAAAACCTAAAGGCCTGCCGCTGTAAGCCACCCTACTCACATAGAAAGTATGTAATTATATAGAAGACAGTATATCCTCCAAATTTAAATGCTTTCCAAAAACTGTATGTCCATACTAGCCTTTTGTCTCTTAACTATAGAGAGTGAAAACTCTAAGGGTTTTATAATAGATGCTGCTGTGTACATACAGACCTCTAGCCTGTGCTGCTCAGGAGAACGTTCTGCAGTGATGGGCATGTCCTTTATCTGTGCTGGTCAGCGCAGTAGCCACGAGCTACACGTGGCCACTGAGCACTACAAACAGGGCTGCTGTGACCTAGGAACTGGATGGTTAATTTTAGGTTAATTTCAATGTAAATAACCATATGTGTCTAGTGGCTACCATACTTGACAGTACAGTTCTAGGCAATTTGATTTAAAATTATACCTCCTTTATTTCTGTTTTCTAATGGGTTCAGAAATCTTTTTGACAGCACATAATTCTTGCGTAGAGTACATGCAAATTTGGTCCCTCCTGAATGTGCCTAAGAAACGTGTGATTTTTCTTTAAACCTGGACATTTTAAGCAGCTCATGCTTAGTAACAATCTAGTGAAGTCATTGTTATATCATAATACTAGCTACTGTTGCCGGAATGATCAGGTTAATGTGACCAGGAGGTGCCTTTATAAAGGTTTTCAGGGCAAATAGGCAAAGGCAGCCACAACACAGTATTTCAAATGTTGTCACATGGAAGGGAGTACAATTAGGTAACTCGGAATTGTAATTTCGGGGAGTGCAGAAAGAAGAAAACCTTCATTAGGTAGAGGTTGAAAGCTTAGTCATTAACCTCTTCCTGTTCTTATTTTAGTCCCAACAGACATTTAAAATTGTTAAGCTTCTTTTTAGAAGTGAGTTTTACTGATTTAAGCTTGACCTTACTGCTGTTATCTTGCATTTTTGCACTTAGTGTCCAGTGATGGTGTACTTCCAGCTTATAACCTATTGGGATATCATCTGGCGAATTATATTTTCTCAGGCGAGAGGGCAGATTTATGTGTTGTCATGGTTTGCAATTCAAGTGTCCAAAACATCAGTTATTTGGATTTTTTTTTCTCCTTGTGATCTAATTTCAGGAAAAGGAGAAGGAATGGCAATGAAGAAGACAACCATCTTCCCCCCCAGACCAAACGGAGTAGCAGAAACCCTGTCTTTCAGGATTCCTGGGACACAGAGGTAGGAGGTGTGCTCTCGTAGTCTGTTGTTTTCACTGCTTGAGTTAAATAACCCGGTATCTGCTGTGTAATTAAATTTACTTAAAGAATAATTGAAAATGACTTACTTGATTACAGTTGTTTAACCTTGCTTTTTCTAAACCAGGGCCTCTTTGAGGAAGCTGTATACCCTCTCCGCAGCAAAACAGTATATATC